GTCCCTTGTTGTTTTGTTTGGCTGAGCAAGGGAGAGAACTGGAGAAAGCGGCGGCTTGGGCTTGGCAAGCAGTGGCCGGCAGGTTTCCGGCGGCGGTTTAGAGGGAAAATTGAAGGGAAAGCTCAAGAAGATAAAATGTAAGCTTTAAATCCTAGAAATTTTCTCTCTCCTCCAAGATTTTTTAGGATTAAAAATTTAAGGTTTTTGAAAATCATGAATTTTGTTAAAGAAAGTGTGTAGGGAGTTTTCTTAATGAATTCTAAACCCTAATTTTGAGTATTTCTAAAAATTTTGAGGTTCCTAAAACTAGATTTTTTTCCAAATCTTGATTTTTTGAAAATGCTTTCATAAACGAGGTTATAAATTACTCTAGGACAGTTTATGGAGAAAAATTTTAGGGTTTAGTGAGATTGCTATTTTCCTGAATGTTTATTTAAAGAAATGCGAAAATAATTAATCCTTAATTATGAGTTAGATATATAAGAGGTTTTAGCATAAAAAAGGAGTGAAAATTATGAAAAATACTATTTCCAAAATTGATTAATGATTAATTTTAATTAGGATCTATGTTAGGTAATGTTTATATTAGATTTATGACTTATGTTATATGTTGTAACATACATGACATTTAATTAGGATTAGGGACTAATGATATTCGACTATAGGAGTAAGAGTTATAAACATTGCAGACTAATAATTATTTTTTTCCCTGGGTCTTGAAAAGGGGAAGTGGTAAGGAGTGGCCGATGTGAGGTGAGATGACGGTTTTAAGAATTTGTTTGCTTGAGGTAGGTACAGTGGACTCTCCAAAATTCAATAGTCTTTTATGCTTTTCTAAAAATTGAATACATTATATGTTTAAGTATATAAACCTTTTAGAAGCATGTAAATTTTATATTGAATGAATTATTATAAATTGTACCTATGTTATATTACTTCAATTATGTTGATATATTGCATTTCATATCATAAGTCATATATGTGTTATTGAATTGTTTTGTTATGATACTTGAAAGTTATACTTTTTGCCTAAAAAGGTTAAAAACATATGTATGAATGTTAGCTGTGTTAATTACCTATCCTAAAATAGATTAGTGTATGTGAACTTGTACATGTTGAGGCGGAGTACCAATATGATGCCTTGGCACAATATGGCTCTCTAGAGCAAATATGGCCCTTTGGGGCAATATAAAAAAAAGGAAATAAAGGGAAGAAAGGAAAATGATATGGCCATTAAATATGTGTACTAGATCAGTACAAAATTCGGTACTCTGGTACGGGTGTATATGATACAAATAAGATACTAAATTTATTGATGAAAGGCACAGTATTGATAGACATGACATGAAATGATAAACATATGATATATAACTTATGTCACTAAAGGAAATATGACACATAAGGAAAACATCTAGATAGTGCATGACTACTTTGTATGATATTCTATTGTTTAAATTCTTTGAAGTACAAGTCAATCATGCATATTGTTTCTTCTTACGTTGTATTTGAATTTTTGTTGAGTAAATTGATATCTGTTGAGCGTTAGCTCATTTCTTGATTTTGAGATATTTTTCATGAGACTCTGCTGCTAGGAATGATTGATCGACCTTGGTTCATCTCCAGTTGTAGCAGGTTCTTCTTGTGTTGTTTTGTAGTTGTAGGATGATTTTGATTTTGGGTGGAAGTTGGTATGAAAGAAATCTTATCCACCTTTGTACATGTTTGAATTAATATGAAATGTTTTGTTTAATGAATTTTGTTTTAGAGGCGCTTATTTATATATCTCTTGGATTGCTTTATATTCTTATTAATTCATGTTTTATGATATTGTCATGTTCTTTTCTAACTTATGTCCGATATTCGTTCCCGTCTCATTTATTCGAGCTCACTGGGCCGGGTCGTGACACCATCTCATGAGAATCCTTTGAAGGCAGCTTGAGTATAATAGGGGTAGATAGGATAAATTTTGGTTTATAAAATGTCAAATGACAAAAAAGGTCTTTGGGTAGGTAGGAAAATCATGTGAAAATTAGACAAAACATCTTGAGGGAGTTACCCAAATGTGAGTTTTGATACTGCTAAGGATATTTGCCTTTTCATATGGGAAGCATAGATCCTAAACTAAGTTATTGATGCAACACCACAACCTCTAGAGAGAGATGCTTATGCTGGATTTGTAAGACTTTAAGGTTATCTTGCCAAACAAACAACACCTTAGGGGGGCCTTATTACTCCACAAAAACTATATGGAGATGCCCGGATTGGACTCTTGATGCTCACACAAAAGAATTGTCTTGAACAATAAGGTCCAAGACTCTAAGCGGATTATTTGAGGGCTTAAAACTGGATAAAAGCTAGTTGGAGTTATCCAGAAGAGATGTTAGAAAGAAGGAATGCTAAAAAGAACCTAGTGATTGTTGAGACAAAATCTGTTGTGTTTGGGTAAGAAGATTCCAATCTGAAGAGTACTCCATAGTTGAAGAAAGAATTGGTTACCTTTCACAAGCAACTATTAGAATGGCCTGCGCTGGATTCCGAGGCTCTCATCAATGTATATCTACTTTAAGGCCTTCAATTTTTACTAAGCAGTTGGTCCAATTCTTGCATAATGTCATCAGTTGAAGAAAAGTAATCGAGATTATAATCGTTAAAATGTTGGATTATGCAACTTGTTTCAAGGATGAAAGCAAGGCTAGGAAGATAGTTGAAGGATGTAGCTAAGTAATCTATTTTAAATGAAAAAGAAATGCATTTTTGTTCTGCATTGATCAGTTAATCTATGTATTTGTGTACTTTATATGTTTCTTCTTTAGTTTGATGATACTTCGAATGATGATCTAGCTTTAAAAAGGCTTCTAACAGTCTCTATTGCTTGCCTAAGATGTGTTGGCCGGTTACATTAGGATTTTTCATTTTTGGTCATTGTCCTTAACAATTCTTGTTGAATTATTAAAAAAAAATCGAGTAATTTGAATTATCTTGTAGTTATCCTTGCTTAAACTTCCAACCTTGGTTTTATGCTTTGCCTTTGGTGTTAGCCCTACTTTGCTTGTCGCATACAAATAAAATCTTTCTATGCTTGGGCTTTATTTACTTAAATTCATTTCAAGAATGCAAGTGTCGACACTATTAATATATTCAATCGCAATGCATATATTTTGAAGAAATAAATTGGAAAACATTGAATTAAATGACAACTCATCCCGATAATTGCCATGATGTGGTGAGCATGATTTAATCACAGAAATTTGAGGGAGAAATGAAGAGTTTAAGAAGATTATATCTGAGTTGCTCATTGCTAGCGTATGATCTTCTTGATTGATTCCTAAAATAAACGTAGCCTTACTCTCACACACTGATGAAAGTTTTGACATTCATTTCTTATATAATAGTCTACTTATAGCTCTCTGTAAGGTGCGACTTGGGTGCGAGTTTGGATAAGAGAGAAGGGGCATACATGAGAGAGAATGATCTCTAGTAGTGTGTTAGCTCAGGAATTATGACTAATGAGGTGGTTTGGCATTTGAGTTTTGGGCTAGGCATGCTGGCGAGAGAGGAGTCATTCGGTGTCAGGCTGTTTGCCTGATAGCACGAGAGGGTGAGGGAACTTGAGCAAGTGAGGGGTCGTTAGTCTCAAAGAGATAAGGATCATCGTCAGAGCTGAGCTTTTGAAATAGGGTTTTGAAGAAGGAGACCAGCTGGGAGCAGGAATGTACATCCAGTAAGAGAAAAGGATGGGAAACATGAGTGTGGCGAGCATGGGAGAGGGAAAAATTGTTTCTTTTATGTCATAGGCTACAATGTTGGTTGCTAATGTGAATTAAAACTATTATCAATTGGACGTTTCCAATGAGATGCGCTTTTGTGGAGATAAGATCGTGCGCTAATGTGAATATGAGCTTCATGGAGGTGTGGGTCTACAACATTTCAAGATGAGGGTGAATAGGGCATAAAGATAAGGATTGGGGGTAGTACTCTTAATTGATGATTGGTGAATGAATATCAACTGTCCTATTAAGGGATTTGACATCCTTTTTACCTATATTTGGTTAATTATCCATATGATTTGACTCTAAATCTGAGCTCTTTATAATAAGACATCAATTAGGAGGTCAATTGGGGCTCATCATTCATCAGATTGGTTTTAAATTTATAACTTATCTTAATTAATGGTTTTGACCTTAATCAATTTAATTAGACCCTTGGCTCGATCAATTAAACCTAATTTGGTCATATTTCTCAATAAGCTGACGAAGCCTAGGCATAGGAATTGGTTAAAGCACGTTTTGAAGCTCCTAATTAAGTTTTGATTGGGATAATTAGGCCTCAAGTTAGTGCTGAATGAGTTATTTAACTTCAATAGAGGTAGGTTATCAACCCATTGAAGCCACGTGTTTACTAATTTGGACTGAGTTTGGAAGTGGTAGTATCTTTATCACTTGAAGAAACCTGAGAGTAGTATTTCCGCATATAATTAGCTTGGTTAATACCTGATTAAAGTTCTAAGGTCTTGCTGAATTCAAAAAGGGTAAAACATTACAGTGGAGTGCTTAATTGTATTAATTAATCCCTGCACACTTAGATGAGGCTAGTTGGGTTTGTCCTTAGGAATCTTGGTTTTAGTTAACTTTATTAGCCCATTAGTTAATTATTTTAACACTTATTTGCCCCAATTTAAAAGTAATCATCAAGTAATCAATGCAGAAGTTTTCCATGCAGATTCCTGGGCTATGGTTCCATTAATATCTTGTCATCGGTTTTCACAAGTACAGCTTCATGTGAACCTTCTATTTGCATGTACTGACTCTTTTTGTTTAATATTGCTTCCAACTCTAGTTTTGCGATCTCAGTGGTTACTTGATACTGTCCACCCAGTTGCGCTTGCTTCTTTGGTTTCATTTACTGCAATGCAGTACTTCATTATTCAGTTGCAATTTAGAAAATAAATATGGTTGATATATCACCTGATATTTAACTTTTAACATTTTAAAACTTTTCAGGTCTGTTTGATCAGATAATACACTCCAGTGACAACATAGACATAGTAGAGCTACTCAGACATCTTCATCCTAAGGTTTAGATAGATGTTTTTATGATTAAAAGATTTCTATATCATTGAACTTATCATTAATAGTTGTCTACTTCTAGATAATGTTAGGCATACCCTTGTTGGACGGAACCAACCCTGCCTCCTTTTTACCTCGCTCAGCTATTTGCTATGATGCTACTTGCTATAGTCAACTTTGGAGTGAGGTTTGTGCACGCATCTTCTCATGTTAGCATAGATTTTTTTTTTTTGTCTGTGAAATAAATGTTATTTTTCAATCTTTTGCAGGTTTTTGCTGCAGACATATTTGTTACAAAGTTTCAAGATGATTTGCTAAACCAGCATGCAGGCCTACAATTCAGAAACAAGGTAACTACCTTATTTATTTTGCTTCTTATTAGTGCACTTTTTATTTTTTAGACTTTTTGCAGGCATGTTTGAAAATTTATACTGCTACTAATGTATCCCAAGGATACAATGCGTTCCATTCATTAAGGCACTTTTCTTGAAGCAATCTATATTTTTGATGCAGTGTCACCTAAACATGAAAAATTGCAACTCATAAACATATTTGTGGACTTCAATTTCAATCACCTAATTCTATGTCATCACATCCTTCGCTGTTCCAAGATCGATCTCCTTGACTGTTGGTTTCATTAAGGCACCTAAAAATATAGGTCATGCGTGTGGTAGGACTCGCTCTAACCAAGCATAGCCTAAAATGTGCAATCCGCAATCTAACCCTTTGCTTGGAAAACATTCGATAAGTATGAGTAGATTTCCTTTCCATCCGCGGTTTTATCAAGGCACAAGGGATTTTTTTAATCTATATCTATTAACGACCACATGATGGTCTTACGGTGTAACACTGAAAATATTTCTGGCACAATTAAAATTTTCTCCTAAAAAATTATACTCAAAATTTCTCATATCCTGAATTTTGTTGAAATCATTTTTACTATATCGTACGGTTCATATTTATCATTTTTGTTATGTATTTAAATTAGATTATGCAGTTAAGTAAGTTTATCCAAAGTTTATAATTCAACGTTACTGTAGCAATCTAATATACTTTAGCGGGTACTATAGCTTCAAAAAATTTTCCGATCTTTCTAGCAAATGGGTGAAGAGCTAAGGCAGTGAGGTAGTTTAGGCGGTAGATTCAAGAATGATTATGTATATATTATACCTAAAGCCCTCCCCATTTACCTATGCCCGAAAGCCTTGAATAGCAGCAAGCAGCAAGCCACAATAACAGCTGTTGGCACTGTAGTAGCAGTTGAATGGGATGAGTTTGAGTACTTTAATAACAGAAGGAGAAGTTCGGGTACTTTAGTAGGTCCAGGAAAAGAAAAAAGAAAAGAAGAAAATGATTAAGAATGAAGAGAAGAAAATGATTAAGAAAGAAGAATTTGGTAAGGACATTTCAGAATTTTTGACAAATAAATTTTCTTGGTTCGTATTATAGAAATTAATGGATTTGAATGAGAGGAAAGCATTCTGAAGTGGTTTACAGATGGTCAAGGCTTAAAAAAAAAAAAATTGTGAAGAGGACCTGATTTGAAATTAAAATTTTGGGCAAATCATGAGCCCAAATTTTAGGCTGCTGATGGTTCTCGGTTTGGGCTTGGTTATTTGGTTTTTGTTGTTTTATTGGGAGCTGTTATGTTGAGCTGATGTTAGCTCATTAATTTTTGTAGTTTACCTTATTTCTTAACTCATAAATAGAACTTGATTAGGTGCATCACCCTTTCCTCCCCTCTATGACCTTTCGGTTTCCTCTGCTGACTCCTTCCCGTGGCTTCTTTTCCTCTCCCCTGGCTGCCTAATCCGGTTCCTTTAGCTGCATGTTCTGGTTCCCCTTATTGCCTGTTTCAGTTCCCCTGGCTGTCTGTTCCCCCGTAGCTGCTTTTGTCGGTTTTCTGTGTGGTTGTTCGGGTGTTGTTTCTGAACTGAATGTTGGCCTTCCATTTCCCCTGATTTAATGAGTCTAATTGATGACCTTTTGGGCTGTTTTCTCCTATATATATTTGATGTTTTATAATAGAAAAAAGAGTTTTTTAATGGATAATTTTTGGAACAAAACCTGAGAGTTTTTTTTTTTTTTTTTGAAAAAGCTTGCTAGCTTGTTCCATTTCTCACTTCTCTCCTTGGGAAAGCTTGCAAGCTTGTCCTCTCTTCGACTTTGTCTCGACCTTCTTACCTCTTTCTTCTCTCTGCAAGTGACCACCTCATTTGTATCTTTCTTCTCGATCAGGAAAACGCAGCTTTAATTGTTTTGTGTTTAGTTTTATGTTCTAATCTTATAAGTGTCAATTTTATGATATAAAGTGATATTGTATTTTGTTTTAAGTGAAGTATTTTGTGCATTTTCTTATTTTCTAGGAAGTCTTTAGTATGCTTGCAAAAATTAGGGTCTTCCTAATTTTTTTTTCTTGCATCACAAAAGCAGGGTGAGCGAACGCTCTGCAGGTAACAGGCATTTATCATAAATTCATGAAATAAATAAAAACATGACATTATGCATAAAATTAAAACAAATAAAAGATTTAGACATTTGATAGGCACATGCTGTATAACATTTTCATAATCAGTTTTCTTGAGCTTTTTCCTTAAACTTTTTCTTTTCTTTCTCATAAACTTTTCCTTTCTTTATAGTCTTTCATTAAATGCATAAAATACATAATCATAATATATAAAACACCTGTCCCGGAAGTACCAGAATTTTGTACTGATTAGGTACACATTTAAGTTTTGGTCATTCATTTATCATTTGGCTCCGAAGAACACCTTTACCATTGACTCCGTAGAGCCCCTTTACCATTGGCTTCAAATAATCTTTTAATTAAATTCTATTTTTAAATTTATTAATAATCCAATTTTTAGATAATCGAAAATTCCCTAATTATCTTCCAAATGCATTTTAAAACTTTCCCATTATTAATTTAATAATTAGGGCTTAATATTTTCGAATTAGTTTAATTTAAAATTATGAAAATAAATTTTTTTTGCTAAAGACCTAAATTTCCATCTTTAAAACATTCCTAATATCATAGGAAATAAAAATCGTAAAGGGGGTTTCTTAAAATTCACAAATTAGGAAAAACCCTAATTTTCCAACCTTTTTTTTTTTGGAGAAAACATCGTTTTTAGGTTTAAAATACTTCCCCTAACTTTTCCTATTAGTTTCGCAAAGAAATTTTTAGGTTTTGGAGAAACCTTAGAACTTTCTCTTCCAAAAATCTTTGAGAACAATGGAGAAATGTAAATTCTAATGCATACCTTAGTCTCCCCTTAGTCTCCTCTACGTTTTCCCCGAAGTTCGGATGCTGAAATCATCGTCGAAGACGCCGCCCATCACCTTGTGTCGCCTCCCTATTCCGCCTGTTTCGTTCGGCCGAAGGAGCGTGCGTGAGAATGAAAGGGATTGAAAGTATTTCGGTCCCTTAAGAGTGTGGAACGGTTAGGGAGGCTAAAGGTCCATGTTGCCCCCACTTGAATTATCTCCGCTTAAGTAGTTATTAACGGTAATTTGGGTATTATGAATCTTCCATGATTTTTAGTTTCAAATTTAAGCGAAATTCAATATATTTTTTTATATCAATTTGCTCAAAATTTTGCATAGAATTTTATAAAATTAATTTCGTCGAAAACCGACAACTTTGAAATTTCACTTAAATTTCATCGTGACGCATCAAGATGTGTGCAACGCTTACGATCGTCGATTTCGGGTTTTACAATTCTTCCCTCCTAAGAAAAATTTTGTCCTTGAAATTTAAAAGCAATACCATAAATTAAAATCATACTTTAGCCAAATAGGTGAGGGTAGTTCTCCCTCATTTATGACTCCTCCCAAGTTACATCATTTTCAGATCCACGCTTCCACAGAACTTTAATATAAGGAATCTGCCGGCTTAGTAGTTGCTTCACACTATAATCTATGATCATTTCAGGTTCTTCTACAAAAGTCAAGTCCGATTGTATATCCACAGATTCAGCACTGACCTTCTGAGTTTCATCTGAAATATACTTTCTCAATGAAGAAATGTGAAATACATTATGTACTCCACTTATATGACTTGACAAAACTAACCTGTAGGCTACCTTTCCAATCTTTTCTACAATTTCAAAAGGACCTACATATCTTGGACTCAACTTTTCTGCTTTGCCAATTCTTTTCACACCCTTCATTAGACTAATCTTGAGAAATACAAATTCACTAACTTTAAATTCCACATATCTATGTTTGGCATCATAGTATTTCTTCTATCTATCATGTTTAGCTTTCAATCTGTCACGGAACAGCCTTATCTTTTATGTAGCATCATCCACTAAATCAGCTATAATAATCTTCCTTTCTCCTGTCTCAGTCCAGCTTAAAGGAGTTTTACACTTTCTCCCATACAAAGCTTCATAGGGAGTCATACTATAGACAAACTCAATCAATGGTATATGTGCCTCCCACTTACCACTAAAATCAAGTACATATAATCTGAGCAAATCTTCTGGAGTTTGAATTGTTCTTTCTAATTGCCCATCAGTTTGAGGGTGAAAAGTTGTACTGAAAGTGAGTTTGGTACCCATTGCTTCCTGAACCTTTCTCCACAATCTGGAGGTGAATCTTCCATCCTGATCTAATACTATAGAATTTAGTACCCCATGCAATATGACAATTTCAATAACATGTAGGTTTGCAAATTTCTCAACTGGATCAGATTGTTTGATAGGCAAGAAGTGTGCAGACTTAGTTAACCTGTCAATTATCACCCATAAAGCATCAAATCCTCTTCTAAATCTAGGTAAACCAACCATAAAATCCATAGCAATGTCTTCCCATTTTCATTCAGGTATAGGTAAGGGTTGCAATAATCATCCTAGTTTATAATGTTCTACCTTAACCATTTGGTAAGAAGTATATTTACTTACTACTTCTGCCACACTCTTCTTCATTCCTGGCCACCAAAACACTTCCTTTAAGTCATGATACATTTTGTTACTGTCTGGATGAATGGTATAATTTGAATAATGAGCTTCCTGAAGGATTTCTTTCCTTAAAGTCTCCAACATTTGGAATACATAATCTACCCTTATAACGCAGCAATCCTTCACCATCAAGCTCAAATTCTTTATTGTGTCATGCACTAACCATATCCAATATCTTCTTAAAATATGCATCCTATGGCAAAGCTTCTCGTACTGTGTCTTTCAATGTTGATTGGATAATCATTTGATTTAACCTTACAATTTCTGCATCATTGGGCTGAACCACTAAAATTTCTAAAATTTCCAAATTCTTTATCAATTCCTGTTGCTCTGTAATCACCCAATTTGCACTATCAGAATTCTTCCTGCTCAAGGCATCTGCAATCATATTAGCTTTACCTAGATGATACTGAATGTCCAACTCATAATCCTTAATGAGTTCTAGTCATTTTCTCTGTCTTAAATTCAATTCTTTCTGTATGAAAATATACTTCAAGCTATGGTGATTAGTAAAAAACTTTACACCTTACCTCGTATAAGTAATGCCTCAAGATCTTTAAGGCAAAAATCACTGCAGCTAATTCTAGATCATGGGTTAGATAATTCCTTTCATGATTTTTCAATTGCCTAGAAGCATAGGCATTGATTCCTCCATTTTGCATAAGTACACAACCCAATCCTTTATGTGAGGCATCACTATAGAGTTGAAATCCATCTGACCCTGAAGGAATAGTCAGCACTAGAGCAGTCATCAAACAATGTTTTAATCTCTGAAAATCATCTTCACACTGAGCTGTCCATTCAAACTTCATTATTTTCATAGTCAATCTGGATAGTGGCATAGCAATCTGCAAAAACCCCTCAACAAATCTTTTGTAATAGCCACCTAAACCTAAAAAGCTCCTGACATCTGTCACTATAGCTGGTCGAGGCCAATCTGTTATTGCTTGCACCTTATGCTGATCCACAGAAATCATTCCATTATTGATCACATGTCCCAGAAAGTTCACTCTTCAGCCAGAATTCGTACTTGGAGAACTTATCATACAATTCATTTCCTCTCAATGCCTATAACACAGGCCTTAAGTGATTTGTATGCATTTCTTCATCTGGGGAGTAAACCAGAATATCATTTATGAACACAATCACGAATAGACCTAAAAATGACTTAAAGTTTTTATTCATGAGGTTCATAAACACAGTAGGGACATTTGTAAGACCAAAAGGCATCACCACAAATTCATAATGCCCATATATGATACTGAAGGCTGTCTTTGCTATATCTTCTTCTCGAATCCTGAGCTGATGGTACCTAGACCTAAAGTCAATCTTTGGAAACACTGAAGCACCTTCTAACTGATTAAACAGATCATCTATCGTTGGGAGATGATATTTATTTCTCACGGTTAGCTTGTTCAATTCTTTGTAATCTATACAGAGCCTTAAGTTTCTATTCTTCTTCTTTACGAACAGTACAGGAACACCCCAAGGGGAGGTACTAGGCCTGATGAATCTCTTATTCAGTAACTCTTGCAATTGATCTTTCAATTCCTTCAGTTCTTTTATTGTCATTTTGTAAGGGGCTTTAGCAACAGGTTTAGATCTTGTCACCAATTTAATAGAGAAATCTATTTATCTACTTGGAGTTAAGTCAGGTAAATAGTCTGCGAACACTTCTGGATATTCCTGAACAATTGGAATATCTTTCAGCTCTCTTTCTACATTCTTCTCCTCCTTAACATAAGCTAAGAAGACTTCATATCCTTTCCTCAATAATTGATAAGTGTTTAAGGATGAAATCATAATAACTGTTATTTCTCTATCTCCTTGAAATATAAATTCCTTCATTCCTGGCATTTGAAATCTAACATTCTTCTTGTTACAATCTATAGGCACGAAATGACAAGATAATCAATTCATGCCTAAGATTGTATCAAATTCAGACAATGGCAAAACAGTCAAATCTGCTTCTAAGTTCTCATCACTTATCCTCAAATCCGCATGACATCTCTTATTAGTTTCCATTTGATTTCATTTGACATTATAACTGACAACGGTTTCAACATAATTGTAGGAAGCAAACTTGCAGATCTAATAAACTCCTCTGAAATAAAGGAGTGTGATGCTCCAGTATCAAGAATACTCTAACAGGTTTGTTACACATTAAGATTGCCCATAATCACATAAAAGTCATAACATTCATTATAAACATGACATTCATTTTTCATCCATATCATATAAGATTTTCATTGACAATTAATTAAATCACATACCTGTAACAATATCAGGAGACCCTTTAGCTTCTTGTTGGGACAATCCATATATTCGAGACTGAACATTCTGATGAGTTTGACCTTAAGAAGGAACAGATGTTGTAGACTATACAGTTCTTGGTCTGCCAGCTGTCATCTGAGTATTATTGCCTGTCCTGACCTCTGTAACATATTTATATCCCAGAAGAGGGCAAGACTTTGTCATATGTCTAGGCTGATGACACCATTAGCAAGTATTAGTGTCATAGAGACACTCTCCCTTATGCATCCTTTCACACTTATTGCATACTGTAGCAGCTGAAGCACTGCTGTCAGAATTGTTGGATCTGAGCTTCTTTCAAGTAGACACTCCAGACTGAGAAGACTGATCAGACTGAGTGGGCTTTGACCTGCCCTCAATCTTTCTTTTCTGGAAGTCCCTCCTCCTCCGAGTCGCCTGTAAGTCCATCTTGATCCTTGCTCTTTCCATCAAAGTAGAATAGTCTTCAATTTCAAAAGGTATAAGAGGATACCTTATTATATCTTTTAGTCCAGACAGGAAGTGGTGAAACTTCTCTTCAGCATAGTATACCAACACAAATATGTTAAACATTGCACGAAAGCATTGAATCATCACACAAATGTCTTATGCGAACATATAGATAATACAAGAATGCATTGTGCATACACACCATGCAAGATGTAAATGCAATAATGCATTATGCAAATATGTTACAACATACGAATGCATCATGAGTATAGGTTAATCAACATGCATATGTCTCACACGAATGCATTATATATAGTGTGTAAATACATTACATAATTCGTGCAAGCATGCTAATATTAAGGTCCAAGAATGCTGCGTGGGTCAGATATTCAAGCTCCATCCTCCTCATTCAAATGACTGGAGTTGACATGACTTGAATTAGCAAGCGAATGTCTAAACATAAATCCACTGGGATATTCAATATTAAAGTTCATATTAGGCCTTCAAAGGCTCTTTAAATAAAACTCATCATAAAATACAATCTCTCGATTTTAGCATTCGCATAATAATTGATTGTTGAACTTGATCCTCTGTTAGCAAGCGAACAGAGTTTATAAGGTTCAAATAACTAAAACTTTAATCTCAAATGATGGTCGTATTGAATGTTTATCTTAGTCGGAGGGAACTCTACCCTTTTAAATGCTGCCAAATGTCTATAAATACAAGCGCTTTCAAATGACTATAACATCATCCCCGATGATGGCCGTGTTGACAAAAAAATTCAACCGAAGGGGACCCTACATTTCAAAATACTCATGAACCCTAATGTAAATACAAATCTTGTAAAGTGATTGCAAAATCATCTTGATGATGATTGTGTTGAAGGTTAATCTCAACTGAAGGGGATCATATCTTTTTAAATGCCCCCAAATCTCAATATCAATAATTAAGCTCAAATTTCAATGAAAGTTCAAAACATAAAAATCACTGAAACCTAAGATATTCAAAATGAAATAAATCATCTAATAACTTAAAACAAAAATTCATATATCCTTTACAATAGTTTGTCAAGCGGATGAATTTGGAAATCAGTTCAGCTCACAAAGAGCTAATGTCCAGTTGAGAATATCAGCAGGATTTACTTTCAATCCATCTCTTGCTAGTAAGGATTTGGCATGTATTCTCTAACTGATGGTTTCGCCGCCAAATGATATCACAAGTAAATGATTAGATCAAGGCCCTCTAATTGTGTGGTTTTGCCACCAAATGACACCACTAAATTTTAGTCAGGGCCAGAGCTCGTATGCTCCCCAACGGTTTTAAAACATTGAGTAATGAATTAATATGATATTATTGATTGGGCGCAAAGCCCTTTGTTAGCTCAGGTGAACTCAAATATATCCCCTTAGGCAAACATTCATCCCAAGTCTACATGGTACACTTGGACGACGCAACCTATGACTGCCAACAAGGATCCTTCGGCCAGGTTGGATTGACTATCTCATTTGATTAAGTAGGGCTATGATAACCCGGGACGATGGAACCATGAGATCTTGATCGGTTTCATCACTATACCCCCAACCAATCCGCTTTAAGTGCACAGTGATAAAATTTCAATTTTCAATGTCAAATTCTGTTGTTGCTATACACTGGGTACTAAGTGCCTATTTCAACGACTAGCCTTAATTGAAAGTTCTCTCTTGTTATCGCGAGAGGTAATTAACTATAATAGCTTTCGCCTATAGAAAACCTAAACTCAGATCATAAAGTCTTCGCAAAATGAGGGTGAAATTTATAGGTAGTGCCTTGTCTAAAACTCGTTATTGCAAACAATTAATTTTTTCCTTAGTCGTGTTATTTTATTGTTTTGTAATGGGCGGTGTCCTAAAATCTTAATTATGTGAATCAGCAATTGTCATTTATTCTTTTTTTTTGCATGATGTCATAGTTCAATAAATGATATACTTCTATTATTTCAACTATTGATACATGCCTTTTGAAAGAAAATTGATGCATTTATCTCGTGAACAAGTCATTCTCCACTACTATAGTCAAAGAACTTAAAAGCTCAACCCTTTATATTAAAGCTTCGTTTGGGACAGCTTTTATACTGCTTTTTAAAACAATTTTTTAGTAAAATTTTTTGAAATAGAATATTTTCTGCTAGAAAGCTGTTTTAGAAAGAAGTAAGAAAGCTATACCAAATTAAGTGGGGCGGTTTTCTTAATGCTTTCTAAAGCAGTTGTCTGGTACAAAAATTTATAATTCAAGAAATTTTTGCACTAAAAAGTTGCTTTGAAAAGTTGTGAAAAGTCGTCCCAAACAAAACCTAAGATTTATTTACCTTCTAAGATTAGTAAATTATTTTTTCAAAAACCCTTTGTGATTTCTATACAGGTATTAGCGGCTGGAGGATCCAAGGAACCTTTGGATATTCTATCAGACTATCTTGGAAGAAAGCCATCCATCCAGTCGTTTATTCAAATCAAAGCCAAAAACAGTTTGCCTGTCCCAGAACTGAAATAAACTGTGAACAACAACAGTTTTTCAAGCAAATTATCGACATGCATATACTTTTTTAAATGCTTATAAATATGAAATATTTGTTGCAAACTTCACCTTCAAATTTGTTCTTGTCTTCTTTATTTTTCAGCTTTAAAAGAAAATTACTAACTGTATACTGTGTAAAGTTTTATATGAATATTCAAAAAAAAAAAAAAAATTGCAGATCTATCCATCACTTTCTTCTCAGTACCAAAATTCTTGATTCGACGCTGATTGCAAGAAGCCATCTCTTTCATATATTTAATACAGTCATCGTTGCTATCACGTTTGGATAATATTCAATATTCTTTATCTCCAATGATTTAGAGATAAAATGAATAAAACTGATCATTTTTGTTTAGATCTGGCATTTGTAATGAGCCTAAAACAGTTAAAATCAAAGCACTGAGGGGACTTTTTGTCCCCCACTCGCTTCCACCGCCCTCACTTTTTGACTTGACAAACCCAATTGGACCTCCTTGTATGCCCCACTTTTGTGATCAAGCCTGGAATCTTGTTCTTGTCAAGGAATTTCACTTTATTACAACAGTTTTATATAGGATTTATTTGGGATGTTTTTTTTACTGCTTCTTAAAATAATTTTTTAATACAAATTTATAGAAAATTATTTTAAACAGCAATAAGAAAACCGTCCCAAATAAAGTCACAATTTGACTTTTTTTTAAGAGAATAGGATTAAAATAATGTAGGGGGTGTTATTTGACATTCGAGTTGGTTCAACCCAACCTAGACATGGATGTTCTTTAGGCTAATTTTTGCAAACAATAAATAAAATGTTTTTTTAATATATAAGTTATGTATTGTTAAATATCATAAAATTTTATACATGTTAATTTGTTATATATCAGTTTGTTTGTTTATGTTTGGTTCTTTAAAGAATGTTCAATCTATTTTGGTGAATTGAGGATTCATTGTAGTAAATTGTTCTTGGCATCATGGTTCCAAGTATAAGAGTGGCATAGGGGTAAATTTGCTAGGGTTTTAGATTGCTTTTTTAGTGTTATGAAAGATTAAAGGGCAAGGGGCTTGTTTCAATGATGCAACACTAACACTTATATATGCATGCTAGTGATGGGACCCATAGACTAGAGCTTTGCATTGAAATGGATGATCATTATCATCAATAATAGTTCATATCTTTAAGCAAGAAGCATTATTAAGAGTTGGTTGACCCTTTTACTTTTTGATAAATTCATTAAATAGCTATATAGTTTATGACATGGTGACCCTTTGCTTTATGCACAAGCAACATGTGAGAAAATAGTATTTGAATCTATCTCTTAATCCCTTTGTTTGGTCACTCCAAAGATGAAAAGATGGGTAGAATGAACCTAGGAAGTAATTATTTTGTTTTTTTATCTATGTAAACTCATCATGTACTCATTATGGAATCATTGAGATTTTGTTTGAGTCGGTTTTCTTTCTTCCTCTTAAAGCAGCTTTTAAGTACAAAAAATTATTTTTGTACTTGAAAGCTGCTTTAAGAATCATAAATAAAGCCGTCCAAAACTAACGATGAATCAATTTTAATAGTTTGATAAAATTTTTAAGTGTATTTTAAGTGGTGATGAAAAAAATTATTTAAATTATTTTTTTTCATTTTTTATAAAAAGAATACAATCATCATTAAGTTATAGAAAATCATTTACTTTTGAAATTACTATATTGTCACCATCTTCATGGAATAAGTTGATTACCAATATGATCATCATTTAAATTTGGGAAGAATTTAAATTTCAATTTCACAATAAGAAAAAATATTATTTTTGTTTATAAAAAGTTTATGCTATTAATTTTTTCAATTAAGGGTGGAGCAATTAAGGAAGATATTAATAATCGCAAAAATAATTATTGAGATTTATTTTCTTTCTATTGTGGGATGACCAAAATTTTAAGTAAAAAATAAGCATGAGATGTCCTCGCCTCTCTCTCCACTTTCATTGAAGCTTTAATTCAAGAAAAATAGATTTGGCTATTTTAAAAACAAATATATTTTAAATTAAGCAAGGTAATTAGCATTTATGCCATTAAATCATGAATATTTTTTTAATTTTATTTTTTCCACTAGAAAGTTATATAATAATGTGTATTTTAGTGGTTTTAAATTTAGAGTGAGTTATATTAAGAAATTATAATGGCTGAAATATTGTAAGACCTTTGTATTTAATGAAAGGTAAACTTTGGTGTCTTCATCTTAGGTTCTTTGGTGAGTTATCTAGAAATATTATTTGACCTTTTTGATATTATTATTTTCTTTAAATTATAATGTATCTTCTCTATTCATGTTATTTTATATTTTTCTTATGGGTAGCTCACCTTGCATTTATATTAGATAGGTTGGTAATGTTTATGATAACCTATACAAGTGGAGCAACAAACAAACGAGATGATGAGCTCCTATAGATGAAAATGTATTTTCAATCTCTTAATATTGATATGATGGATAGTTTAATAACGATAATATTGTGCTAGACTTAGACTCTACTAACTTTTATGATGTGAGTCAGATATAATCCATTATATTATGATTGCAAATGAACTTAGACATTCATATATGACATATTTCTATAACTATGATAGAACATAATAAAAAACAAAGAAAAGTAGCAACTTAATATTATGATGTGATTAATATATGATATAATCACTGGTTATAAACTTAACCAATATTATATATATGTGTGTGTGTGTGTGTGTGTGTGTGTGTGTGTGAGAGAGAGAGAGAGAGAGAGAATAGATGTGGACATTTTAAAAAATATATATATTTTAAATTAAGCAAGGTAACTAGCAATTATTATTATTTTAAGGTAACTAGCAATTATGTCATTAAATCATGAATATTTTTAAATTTTATTTTTTCCACTAGAAAGTTATATAATAATGTGTATTTTAGTGGTTTTAAATTTAGAGTGAGTTATATTAAGAAATTATATTGGCTGAAATAATGTAAGACCTTCTTTGTATTTAATGAAAGGTAAACTTTGGTGTCTTCATCTTAGGTTCTTTGGTGAGTTATTTAGATATATTATTTGACCTTTTTATATTATTATTTTCTTTAAATGATAATGTACCTTTTCTATTCAAGTTATTTTATATTTTCTTATGGGTAGCCCACCTTGCACTTATATTAGATAGGTTGGTAATGTTTATGATAACCTATACAAGTGGAGCAACAAACAAATGAGATGATGAGCTCCTATAGATGAAAATGTATTTTCAATATCTTAGTATTGATATGATGGATATTTTAATAGCGATAATATTGTGCTAGACTTAGACTCTACTAACTTTTATGATGTGAGTCAGATATAATCCATTATATTATGATTGCAAATGAACTTAGACATTCATATATGACATATTTCTATAACTATGATAGAACATAATAAAAAAACAAAGAAAAGTAGCAACTTAATATTATGATGTGATTAATATATATGATATAATCATTGGTTATAAACTTGACCAATATTATATATATATGTGTGTGTGTGAGAGAGAGAGAGAGAGAGAGATTGGACACAATATTTTTGCTATGATTTCTTTAATAAATTACTTTACTTTTATGCTACTTTATTCAAGAAAATTCATATCCTAATAAATATATGTAATGCATTAAGCTAGTTTAGGATCATACTTTCAACTTTATAATAAATTCATGATTAGCATGTCATAGTAGTTTTTTTTTTTTCTTGAGTATTTGAATTATTTATTAGATTTTTTTTGCTTATAAAACTTCGTAGCTCATCAGATTATTATTTTGGTTGTTGCTATAAGCAGAGAAAATGAGAAGATTAATCATAAGTGAGGATCATGATTTGAATTTAATACCTGATTTTTTTGATAAATCATAAGAAAGATTAATCAAAACATGATCCCCACTTAAAAAATTACATATTTCAATGCTTTTATGAACTTGTAATCATCACTCCAAAGTATGCTCCCTTAGATCAACCTGAGGATTTGCAACAATATGTTACAAATTTTAAACTATAGGTGATGGTAGATTTGAAAGCTTACAAAATCTTGTTGCCAACATCCAAATATTATGAATCAAACTCTAAGCTATTAGAAATCAAGCACCACCTATTGCATACACGCAACCTTAATTTCATGCACATTACAGGAAAGAAAATTTTAATAGTAATCTGCAAAGACACCAGCAAAGTAATGAACTTGGAGCTTATGATGACCCATGTCATAAGATTAAAATTGAACATCTCCTTTAATGGTGGCAAATAAATTCCTAAATTGATTGGCCTAAATGTGTGATTTTCTTAAACATCTATATTTGTTGGATGTTAAGGAACTAAATTTGTTAAAATGGAATTAATAAGGCATGCTAAGTTTTATTGGAATAACTTGCTTTTAAACGAATAAGAAAATACTAATATTGGATAAAGTGGGGCATAAATGAAAGAATTGTTAAGATCTAAATGCTTCAATGTGCAGCTTGATAAGAAATTGTATGGTTAACAATTAAGTATAAGGTTAAGGCATAATGTAATTAAATATATAAATACCTTTGAAGATCTATTAGCTAGAATACAATGTATTAGCCAAGATTGATAGATAGCTAAAAAGTTTATGATTTCCCTTAGAATGAAAAATAAGAATAACATTCAATTGTTAGATTCATAGAGGGGATGCCTTACACTATGCACTTTTGATTGAAAATAATAATTTTGTTTCCTAATTTTAAACTTAAGGGTCTCATCATCATCACATTTTCTTTATGCCTATTATTATATCTCCTATCACATTATTTGTATTTATGACTTTTTTTTACCTTAGGGGCTCTACTTATTCACATCTTATAAATAAAAAAGAGATTATATTCTTCAAGTCTCGTAACAAAAGGTTAAATTCAAATTCAATGCATGACAAAGATCTTACTCCTGGAAAAATTAAAAATCTTGAGTATAATGATTTTGAGAAAGTTGTGGATGTTATATCATTATTTGATAATGAGTTTATTGGTATTGATAATTATTGCTTTATTATTATTTTGTCTTTATTTTTCATATAATATATTTTTGAAGATTAAAGACATAAATATTT